TTGGATGCATGTCAGACGTGCAGGCGTGGGAATTCCCCAGGTTGGTTGGTGTCAGTTTGCAAATTTACACAGTTTCATTTTTCTGACAAATCAGCCTTTTTATAATCATCCCATCTTGAAACTAGAGGGGAAGGGAATGTAGAGGTGAATTGCTAATATCAGTGACTTCTGGAAATTCCCCATGTACGGTCTCTCATATTTAGTAACTGTACTTTTTCTGTTTGTGTTAAAAAAAAGTTATTTGACAATAAAATAACTTGGTCTATTCTGGTAAAACTTGCTTCACTTACAGTAAGTTTGAGAGAATCAGTATTAAACTGTACTGGTATTTTTGAACTACTCTTATGAAAAAATACAATTTTATATCTAATATAAAGCAATGTCAGATATGTTTGCATGGTGAAAGGTAAAATATTTTTTCTTTAGATATGGTAACCTGGTTTCAAATATTACTTAAAAGTACTATGTAATAATAGTGAGATGTTTTATTTTAAACAATGTTATGAAACTAGTTTTAAAATCTGTTTAATAAATATATTGCCTTGCCATATATGAATTTAAATCACATCCATCTGGATATGTTTACCAAAATTAAAAATAATCCATGTCTATTATAAGCCATTTGCTGCCATTACCACCCGCTGGCCCCTGACAAACACCCACCCAGTTACTGACCCAGATCAACAAATATCCAGATTAAACAGATGCATCTTGCTACATACCCAGTTCCTTCCTATACGATACATTGTTTATAATGCAAAATCTGGGAACCTTTTTATGATTTTAGTTACTAATTTTGTATTAAAGCTTAAAAGGGCTATATTAAAAGAAAAAAGCAAGGGTTAAAAACAAAAAAAGCTTAAAAAAGAAAATAAGCTTGAAACAACAAATAGTGGTAAATAGGAAAAAAAGGATAAAGAAAAAAATATTGTATACGTTTCCCATTCTTATGTTGTCTCTTTATATTGTAATTTCTTTGGAACAGAATCTCTCTTCTTACATGTCTAGGATTTGCCTGGAACACTTTTGGCGTTATAGAAGTAAATAATACAAAAATCAAATTTCTGACAAGAGGATGTTATTTTCTTATATAATCAGCAATAGTGAGTTTTGTAGGATTTTGATGAGAGTTGAGTCAAACCATTGAAATGCCCATTGGGTCAGTTGAAACTATGGATATTAAAAAGCCAATTAGCAAATAGGCACTTAGCCAAAGGGTGTTAGATAGATTGAGGTATGTAAACTACTTATTTCTCCTCCTTTTCATTGGTGTAACAAAACCCCAGAGAACCCTGGTGCAAGAATATGTAAGGGCTGGGGTCTCCTTCCCAATTCTGCCCCAACCCCTCACCCCATAGCCCACAAACAACTTTCCCCCAGCCCTTCAGCCACCACCCCGGATCCTTCCTGGGCACTCACAGGAGCACTTCTAGCTCAGCGCTCTACTCCCATCCTGCCTATGGTGGCTCCTCCTGAACCCAGCTGCCCAGTGGTTCTGCTTTTTCCCACTTACACACAGTGTGAGGAGTGGCATTACAACCTGGTGCATGGGGTCACAGTTCCACTCAGGTTTGGCCCACCTGCTCCTCTGTCATGGGGTGGGGGTGGCCGGGCCAATCCTGAGTGGCGATCCCTGTGTGACAAGTTTCAATTCCACTCAGATTTGGGAGGGATGAGTGGCATTCTGATCCCATGCACCAACTGAAAGGCCGGAGCACCACTCCATCTCATTGGGCCTCTGTAACCTCATGGACCCTGGCATGACTGCATCACTTGCACCATTGTAACTACACCACTGCTCCTTTTCCCAAAGCAGCACGTAAAGAAATGTTGTAGCTATGGCAACTGAAACAAGCAGTAGTTTGGGTAGTGAATTAACAACATGCTCCCGCACTCCATTCCCACCCAATTTTTAACATACCTGTAAAAATACATGTGTTTTTTAGATGGAAATTCAAACATACAAAAGTTTGGTAGTTCACTCTCAGCTCATCTCTACTTTAACCCTGTCAGTGATTGTGTACAGATATGTGGCATTCTGTATTTGATCAAATATATTACAAGTAAGTGTCTTTTTGTTATCCCACTTTATTGATAATTATAGGGCCTGATTATCCTTTGAGTTACTCGGGTTTTAAACTGACATAACTCCACTGCCTTCAGTGGAGTTGCTCTTAATTTGTACTAGTGTGTGCAAAAAAGTAACAGGGGTGCCCACAGAGTTTTATTTTATTAGTCTCTCTGTACCTACAGGTGCACACAGTATAAATGGTGAGATAGCCTTCCTTGTAAATGGTTAATCATAGTCAAAGAAAGCCAACAATGTTTTGTTCTCTGCACCATTGCTAATGGGGAAGGAGGAGAAAGACTTAGTAAAACAAATACATCTTTTGTTTTAAATTCTTTGGAACAATTCTGCCTGGCAGATCTTCCACCCTCCCTCCGTTCAGTTTTTCTTTGTTATTTCCCTAATTAAAATTCTGCAGTGCCCCCATCAAATTGTTGTCCATTTGAGGTCATAAATAGCTTTTGTTCTAATGAAATATGAATTGTGTTCATTAATTGAATTGTATAGTTAATATATGTTGTGAGGGTACTGACTCCACATTGATTCTTAATATACAGTGAGCATTTTATCAGGCTAGGGAATGTGTGGACACACAAAATGTTGTCGATCATTCTTTGCCATACAGTAGGGTGATTTGATTAAAAACTGAAGATTTTAGGAAGTATTTATTAAAGACAAGAATTGCATAACCTAACAAGGGCAACTTCTACCAGACATGAGCTCAGCTCTTTAATGGTTTAGGGCCAAGTCAGGGTCCCATGTAAAATGCAAGTAAACTGGTTTTAGGCATGGGAACGGTACAAGCTTTGAAAAGGTCGGAATCCTCCAGGAACTATACAGAATGCCTGCAAAGCCCCCTCCAGAGTCAGCGTTGCAGTCTGCTAACCATGTGTCATTGGGCCAACTGGTCCTCAGAATCGCACACCCACTGCCCATGGGCTGGATTCGCAAAGAAATTAGGCATCGTGATGGCATCTAGAAAAGCACTGTGATTCACAAAGCCTAAGTTAGGTGCCTAGGCTCCCTATACAATGAATAGCGGGGAGATAGTCACCTCAGAATGGGATTCAAAAAGGCCAGCACGTGAGACAGTTCCTCACCTAATCTAGCCAATGGGAGATGCCCGTTCATTCTCTCCTGTTGAAGCTGTTCCACTGTGGCTATCTAAGGGAAAAAATTTGGGGGGGAGGAAGGGGGAAAGAGAGAGAATGAATGAACGCAAGTAGGAGAAGGATGCTGTAACGTGGTGGGTAGAGCACACAGGAGATGAGAGCCCCAGCATCCAGTCCCCCTGTGCCAATGATTTTTTTTTGGAATAAGCCAGTGGAACAGCTTCAAAGAGTGAAAACTGAGAGAGCCCCACCTCAGAATATCCTATAGCCCAGTGATTAGAGCACTCACCTGAGAGGTGGTAGAGCCCTGTCAAATCCTTTCTCCTGCTCAGATGGAGGAGGGACTTGAACCCATGTCCCTAGAGGGGCCCTATCTGGGAGGTGAACTATGAGTACCAGACTGGGCCCCACATGCACATTAGGTGGAGGAACACCTGCTCTTCTCCAGCTTGTGTATCTCACTGGGGCCCAGGTGTCCAGATGCCTGGTGTGGGATACAGTGCACATGCTCGGAGGCAGAAACATAGGGAACTTTCACTGCAAAAGCTAAGGCGTGAGTGTGTTTAGGCGCCTGCAGGACTCAGGGGCAGCTGAGCAGAGGTTTTGTGAATCCCACTGGGGCCTGATTATGGGATTCAGATATCTAAAGTGGCAATTAGGCACCTAACTTCTTTTGTAAATCTAGCCCCATGTGCCTATCAAGCCCCATTCAGAGCTGCTCTGGAGAGGATGCTCTGCCTGCCTCTTCAGCCATGACTCCTTAAGGGCCCGTCCCAAAGCCTACTGAGACAATAGGAATCTTCCACTGGCATCAATGGACTGTAGATCAGGCCCTTGATGAAGACCCTGGCCATCGACTCAAACGTACAGGATGGATATAGCACAAGTCCAGCTAGTGAGCAGTGGACTCTGCTGATTAGTTAAATAATTTCTAGTGGATAGTCACCAACTGCCAAAAAATGTCACTAGGAACTGAATTTTATTTCTTTGTAATGTTCTTGATGTCTGGTCTGCCTCCTACTACACTAATATTTAGTGTTGCCTCTGAGGTTTTGTTTACAGAAAAACTGTTTTGGGTACTGTACAAAAGCTGATTTATATTCTAAATCAGACTATAACACTCCCTAGTCATTCTGTAAGGTGGCAGGTGTTGACAGGCATCTATTGTTCTGTCAATAAATGCTGCATACATGGATTGAAAGGATAAAATAAGTCATTGAGGACTAGGCCACAAGAACAGTCCTGTAACATTCCAGTGAATTCACCATATACCTAAGAGATTGAAGAATATTTGAGAAAAATAATGACAATTTTTTCTCATTATTTTGTGTATTCGTAGAGTCTGAAGTAAGATGGTAAACAAATGTGGCTCAGACTTTTATTTTCTATAGTAACCAAGTGCAGGAATATAAAGCTAGATAAAGTAAAAGACAAACTAAAATTGATTTGCTGTGAGCAACCTCTTTCTGTAGTGACTATGGAAGGAAGAATCCTCGCCCCAGATCTGAACATGGATGGATCTCAACCTGCTTGTGTGGGGGTGTGATGAACTTCCCCAGGGTGCATTCTGGAATTGGGGTACTGCTGAGCCCTCTGTCTCACTAGCCTGGGGCACTGTGATGCCGTGATAAGCTACAGACCTCGCCGAGTCCTGCACTCACACAAACATTTACAGGCAGGGACACACCCAGCTGAAGTCCATGAATGCTTTTGCCAGCCATCCAGGAACCAACAATAGAGAGATTTCAGCCAGTCCCCCCACAGATCCCCAGCCTAGGACCCCAGAGCTGTACTGTCCCTTTGCACTTCAAACAACACTGTTTTAGGTAAAAAATATAAAAAAACTGATTTATTAACTACCGAAAGCTAGATTTTAAGTGATTATAAGTAATAGTGTACAGATCAAAGTTAGTTACCAAAGAAATAAAACAAAATTGCAATCAGGTCTATACACTAGACAGGATTTGAATCAAGCAGTGTCTCACCCTGATGGTACAGTCCACCAATCTTCCATAAACAGGCTAGAAATCCCTTCAGCCTGGGACCACCTCCCCAGTCCAGTCTTTGTTCCTAAGATGTTTCCAGGTGTTGAGTTATGGGGAGAGTGAGGCCAATTGATGATGTCACTTCCCCCTTTTATAGTTTCTTCCATGCGGAGGGAACTTCATTGTTCCAAACAAAGACTCCAAACAAAGTCAGTGGAAAAGAACAGGCACAAGATGGAGACCAGTATCACATGATCTGATCACATGCCCTTGCATACTTCGATGAATCATAGCAGGGGCCATTACCTATATTCTGGGGAAGTCCATTGGGTGGGGATAAGCTTCTTCTAAGACCTATTGAGTTTCTTAATGGGACATTATCTTGAATGGTTCATTCACAATGTGCTGGCTAGACTGGATGTAAATTACTTTGTGGGTGTTACCTAGGAACAGACGCATTTGAAATACTGGTACATAGTCAATATTCATAACTTTGATACAAAAATGATACATACATACAAATGGGGTAATCATATTCAACAAGTCATAACTTTTCCATTGATACCTTACATGACATACTTTGTATAAAACATATCCTAATCATATCACCATGGTAAATATGAAGGTCTCACGGTATTGCATTGGGGTACAGAATGTCAAGGGGGGGCGGGGGAAGGGTTAACAAATCCCACTTGACTAACCCCAGGGCTAGTTGTAAGTAAGGCTTGTTGTAAGTAAGGCCCAGATCCTCTGCGATATTAAGTCTCTAAATACCTTTGAGGATCTGGGCCTAAGGACTTGACACAAACTCACACAGGAACTCGGAAACATGTAACACCAGGAACACATGCCACATCTCCTGACAATAGGATTTCCAATCCATTGCCGTCATCGCTCTCTTAGCATCTTCTGACCCAAGAATCTCAGACTGAACATTGACTAAAGTCCCTATCTGCATCGGGTGTGAGAGGTGGATAAGAGGGGTGGGTGTCTGAAAGAAATGGTTTGATGAGAGCAAGACTGATAAAGTGACACTGGCGGGCCAGTGACTGAGAGTGAAAGTAGTGGGTAAGGTGTGAGAGGTGAATCACTGGTGGGTTAGTGGGCTGAGAGAAGTGAGTGAAAGCATAGAATGGATGGAGAGGGTTGATTGGGAGGCACAACTGATCATGAGGGCGAGATTGAGAGATATTAACAGTGGCAGATTTATAGCTGGCACCTCTGTGTGCAGGATGTTCTTCTCTTCCATAAATGCCATTTTTAACCTGTGTGCACATATTTAAAAAAGAGGGGTGAGAAATGAAATACAGGGTTATGGCTACCTTGCAGCTGGGAAGTAGATAGACTTGCACCTTCCTCTGAAGCATCTGGTGCTGGCCATTGTCATTTTAAGAAGATTGCAGTTATCTTTCCACTCACCCTTTACGCAAGACAGGCACAGTAGGCAGATATCGGGTAATCTGCACCCACAGTCACCTCTGAATTCTAACTAGTTAGACATTGGCTTAATCCCTGAAGTATGAGGTTGAATATACCTTCCAATATTTTTTCCAATTAATTATTATAACTCTGGATATTCTTGTTTTCCCTATAACCATCCAATCTACTCTTTGAGTCTTGCAAAATTCTTGACCTCAGTAGCCCGTGTCAATGAATCCTACAGCCTAATTATATGTTGTGTGAAAAAATATTTCCTTTTATCAGTTTTGAATTTGCCACCTTTTGATTTCATTTTCTTGTGTTATGAGACAGGTAGCTTCAATTCTCCCTATTTAACCTAAATATCATTCATTATTTTATCAACTTGTTGTCATGTCCCTTCTTATTCAGCTCCATTCTAAGATAAACAGCCCCAGACTTTTCCATTTCTGTTCATATGAGAGTGTTTTTGCCACGCTCCGAGTCATTCTTGTTGCTTTTCTCTGAACCCCTCCAATTCTTCAGTGTAGTAGAAAATTCAACTCTAAGTGAATAGATGTCTTCAGAATTTACAAACAAGTCACATTTAAGCAAAAACCAAGCAAATTTTAGCCCAAGTGATTATAGTTTTGGAAAGTGATATGGCCAAAATTTTCAAAAATGGGAGCGTAAAGTTAGGTTCCCCGTCCTCATCCATACTGTAATTTTGTAACGTATTACTTCACCCAAGATTTTCAAACACTCCTAATGGCAAAAATAGGCACCTAAATAAGTGGCCTGATTTTCCCAGGAGCTCCCAATGAAGTCCTTTTTGGAAAGAGCTAGAGAGGACTCTGTGGTCATGTTACATCTTGGTACCAGAGATCTAGAAGAGAGGTCCTGGAAGTTAAATTTAGACTACTAGGTAGAAGGCTTACAGGTCCAAGGCCTCAGAGGTAGCTTTCTCTGAAATACTTCCAGTCTCTCATGCAGGTCCAGCGAACAGAGGGACCTTCGGGGTCTCAATGCTTCGTAGAGAAAACTGCAAAGAAGATGGGTGTTGGTTTATTAGGCATCAGGAAACATTTTGAGGAAGGGGGACCCTATACAGAGGGGATCAAAATGAAACCAACAGCTGCCATGTAAAACAAATAAGGTTTTAGAGGAGTGTTTAAGAGTGGGACAGGAGCCAGCAGGAATGAGAAGCACATAGTCAGATAGAAACATCTGTTAAAGACGTTGGTAATACAACAATATCTGTGTATCCAACCAAGGATAGGATGCAAATTACAACTGAACTAGAACAGGGACAGGATGAAAACACAGGTAAATGCTATAAAACCAGCAGCATGTTAGATTAGAGTTAAATAAAAAAAGGTACCTAGACAACAATAAACCATAATAAACATCTATTAATATCTATACATTTATGTGAGAAGTTTAAAAATAAAAAAAATTATAAATTAGAATGCCTTGCAATGGATGAGGACCTTGATATAATAAACATTATGGAAGCGTGGTAGAATGACAAAAAACAATGGGATACTGCAGAGCCTAATTACACCTATACAAGAAAGACAGACTAGTCCAAAAAGGTAGAGTACCACCACTGTAACTAAAGGATTAGATAGACCAGGGGTCGGCAACGTTTGGCACGCGGCTCGCCAGGGTGCTTACCCTGGCGAGCCACGTACCAAACGTTGCCGACCCCTGAGATAGACTCTAGTGAGAGAAAAAATTCTGAGTGGAGAGGGCCACATCATTGAATCGCCAAATACAAAGATACAAATCCCAAGCTATAAGAATCTAAATATATTAGTCGGGCTATACTACCAACCTCGAGATCAAGAAAAGGAAATTGAGTGCACAACATTGAGAGAAATCAAAGAGGCAGCAAACTCGAACAAAATGATAATGTAGACCCACATATTAACTGGTTAAACGGCACAACAGGACAAAGTTTAAACAATTTCTTGACACTTTAAATGATTGCATCTTGGTACAGCTAGTTCTAGAGCACACAAGAGGACAGGGCAGCTATTCTTGAGTTTGTCTTAACTAACAAACAGAAGTTAATTCAAGAAGTGATAGTAGCTGAGCCACTGAGTAATAATGACTAGATAGACCATGGGTCTGATCCAGTATGGCAGTTCCTGTGTTCAGAATATTAGATTCTTTATCTACATGAGGTGACATTATTTTACTTGTATCCAAAGAGATTGATAAGACACACATCTAAGAAATTCAATAGAGAGGATCAGTCCTGTATTAATTTTTTTTTTTTTTAGTAAACAGGGAATTCTTTCTGCTTCTGGTTGGTGGGAAAGGCTTAACAAAACTTTTTTAAGAGGGATTTTTTTCTTGTGTAAAGTGTGAGTGGAAAGATAACTGCAATTTTCTTAAAATGTTGAACAGTTTATTTTCTGGTAGCCAGATGCACAGGTGAGGAGAAGGATGCCAAATATATGCTCAAGAGCATCTCCTCCATGTCAGTCTCAGAGCCTTCAGAGAACTTCTCATGCAGCCCAGCTGCTAATATCTCTTTGACCATTGAGGAGACTGCAGAATGGAAGGAAAAACCTCTCTTCAGGCAACAAGACAAATGCTCTTAGCTAAAATTTGAGCCACATGGATAGGGTGACCATACCTTCCATTTCTGCTGTCATGGTTTTGTGTTGGCTTCACAGCATTTCATATAACTGTATTGAAATCAATGTTTTAACCCAATCGCAGTTTCAATGGGGGGTGTAAACTATATCAGGAAAGCACATATAACACAAGTTTCCCCTCATGCTTCTGGCTTCTCCAATAACCTTGACTTTATATTTTGAATGTGCATTACACATTTTATAAACCAGTTTATACTTTCTTCACAGAGCCACATGTGGGGCTTGACTTCATGATCAAATATTATGTTAAAACATGACCTTGAAGAGTCTCATTAACACAATGCGACTCACAACTTTGCATTTGGCACAGATACATTATGTCCAGCATTGTGTCAGCTGGTCATGGTTGAAACCTACTGGGTCTAGGGTTTGACAATGATTAGCAAACATGATGCTAAACATGTCCTTGTCCTTTTCTACATTCACTGCAATTTGTGGTTGGGAGTAGCCAATTTATTAGTAGAGGAAAGGCATAACTAGTGCCTTGCAGAAATTTCCTAGGGTAGCACTGGGAGGGAGAAGATAAAAGCGGGGGGAAATGGAGGTTAAAGATCTGAAAGAAATGTATATGAACAAAATTAAGAACAAAACCCACAAAATATAGACAAAGTATACAAAAAAGAAAGTAGGGTGCAAGCAATGAGAATTTGAGTGAGAGAATAAAGCTTAAAATGAAATGAGAAAATATAGGAAAGAGGCAGGGCAGACACAGGGGGAACAATAAAGTCTCCCACATTTTTATTATAAAATTATGGTCCCAAAATGTATGGAGCAAAGAGCTAGGCAAGATGGAAACAGTGCAGCAGAGGGGTTTTTTTTTCCAGTCAGATGCTATCTTTATTATCTCCCCAATATGTGGGGGACTCTCAGAGGAATGAAGTTAATGCTCCAATAGGTCTGTTCCATCTCTTAACTACTCTGATCCTTCAATTCTGTGGCTTGTAAAAAATGCTCTCCTTTCAGGTCAAACAGACTCGGGAAACAAAATATAAAAAAATACTAAAGACTCTGTGGGGAACATTTAAAATAAAGTGTTTCTCAAATAACCAAATTAACTTAGTGTTGCAGTCACGGACTTAGTTCAGTTTGCTTTCCAGAAACAAATCAACAAATCTAACTTTAATGTTATGGGATTAAGTAGTAGGGGAAAGGAAAAGGGTCTTTGTTTTTGTTTTATCTGCTTTCATATAAGATCTTTTAAAGAACAAATTATAATAAATCAGTAGCCTGCAAATAATTCCTCCACCCTTGCTCCCTCGCCCCCTCCTCTTGGCTTACTAGGTCCAGGTCTGCACCAGAAAAGTTATATTGGTATAACTACGTCATTTAGGGGTGTGTATTTTTTTTTTTTTTTTTTTTTTTTTTACAGATTATTTATACTAGTATAAGCCCTAGGCTTTGTCTACACTAACACTTTTGTTGGTAAAACTTTTGTTGCTCAGGGATGTGAAAAAAACATTCCCCGACCGACATAAATTTCACCGACAAAAGCGCAAGTGTGGACAGCGCCATGTGAGCAGGAGACGCTCTCCTGCCGACATAGTTATGGCTGCTCGGTGGGGGTGATTTAATTATGCCGGAAGGAGAGCTCTCTCCCACCAGCATAGAGCGGCTACACAGGAGATCTTACAACAGCGCAACTGTAGCAATACAGCTGTGCCGCCGTAAGGTCCGTAGTGCAGACATAGCCGCAGTGTGCACACACTTATACCGGTATAAAGATGCCTTATATCACTATAGATTATTTTGCTTCATATACCAGTATAATCAGGCCCACACTAGGGGTTGCCACTTTAACTATACTGGGATATTTAAAGCAGCAAATTTTTTAGTGTAGACAAGCCCTCCATTTTTCTCTTCTCTTGTCTCCTCTTCCCTTAAACAAATCAGTCCTCCAATTTAATATAGAAAGAGTATTTTTGAATAATATTTAGTACAATTTAATCTCCCCAGCCTCCAGTCCTTCTCTATCTTCTTGTCTTGACTCAGATGATAATCAGAAGAAGGGGCATTTAAAACTGTTCTTTCAGGGAATGATCCTGTTCCTACTGACAATCAGAGCAGGATCAAGCCTTAAGTAGTCACAAAATCTGAAGGCCGATTCCAACTTTTGAAACTAAGGAACGATTTGTAATTGTTTGTGACTTTTTTATTTACTATGAATTAAAGAAGCATGGCCTCTGATGGATGAGCCTCTTACAGTATGTCTACACTTGCAGTTGGAGGTGAGAGTCCCACGTGAGAAGACATATCCACATGGCATGAGTGGTGGAAGGAGTTAGCCACCCCACGTACATGCCTAATGTCTCCAGTGGGTATGCACTCAGGGTGGCTAGCCCATTTTGCCACCAGGCTGCCGCAGCTACACTCTACTTGATGTGTAGACATATTCCCCATGCAGACAGATACAAAGAAAATCAAGTTCAAAGTAAAACCTTGTTGGGAATGCTACAGTAGCATTTTGGCAGGCTGGTATGTTCCATTGGCTCTCATACCTGCAGCACTTTGAATTTCTGTTTTGGTTCCGCATGATGCTTGGCAAGTTTCCCAGTCTGTGTTCGTGCATTATCTGGGAACATAACCGAGCAGAACGCCTGCTAAGTTTGAGAACTTTTGAGGCAGCTTCACTGGAGCTGGTTTCTGGCAAACAGCTGGCTGCATTTAGGAGCAACAGGATATTGGGTTGCAACTTCCACTGTCAGCTTGCAAAAGGTCTAACTAAATTGCATCCATCACTAGATGCTCAGATTCCACAGCAATGTGTGTGGTATAAGAACCTAGACATATCAGTGGTGGTGATGTCACTTTTTCGTTGGGTTGCAGCTGTGAATAGCCACCAGACAATGTTCTTTGCAGAGATGAACTACCCCAGGGCATAACGCGAACAGAGACCGCTCCTGCACCAGCCCACCTCTGATGGTGGGGGGAGAGGCACACTAGGGATGGGAGGTTTGCGGGCATGGGGCAAAGTGGGGGTGTGGCAGAGTTTGAGTGCAGGGGAGAATTGAGACCTTGATCATCTTCTCAACTGAGGCAGCCCTAGAGGGTGGCTGCCAGCAGGAGTCACCCTGTGTGCAGTGCCAGGGCCAGCTGTTGTGCCTCATTGCTGCATCTGGGTCCTCTCTTTATACCAGATGTGGATCCCAAGGGTCCTGTATTCATTTTCCTCTGTGCCTAGCTATCCTTTATGTGGATAGCATTTGAATACATTCTTGTAGATACTTGAAGTGGCCACTTAAGACAGGGATTTGCCTTCCAGTGGTGGTTGCTAGTGCAGAGTTCACTGTGTGGGATGTATACAGAGAAGAGGATACTTTGGCTTCTCTCCTTATAGAAGAATCTGTAATATTTGCAGTGATCACTTTTGGACACT